GAGAGAGAGAGAGAGAGAGAGAGGGAGAGAGAGAGAGAGTGTGTGTGTGTGTGTGTGTGTGTGAGAGAGAGAGAGACGGGGAGAGAGAGAGAGAGAGAGTGTGTGTGTGTGTGTGTGTGACTGATAAGAGCTCCGCCAGTCCCACCCAACATAAACTGTTCCTCAGTATATTTATCTTGTTTTCCAACAAGACAAAAATATGAGTACATAACCCTTAATAACACTTCCTCCAGTGAGAATTTTGAAAATACTGTAGACTATGTTTTATCTGGAAGCAAGGGTTTGAAGTTAAAAACATCTTGATGCTGGATTTGTTTCAGCTTCTGTCTTCTCCAGATGTTAACTGATGGACTGGAGTGCTGTGGATTACTTGTGGATTATTGTGATGTTTTTATCAGCTCTCGTTCTGACGGCACCCATTCACTTGCAGTGAGACACTGATGCAATGCTACATTTCTCCAAACCTGATGAAGAAACAAACTCATCCTGATCTTGAGGGTGAACTATTCCTTTAAGTGAGTTTATAGTGAAAACAAGAAAATATTTTGTTTTTGTTGTTGTTTTAATCATAAACTCACATCATTTTGTTCCATTCATCAGAAAACACGACTAATAAAATGACATAATATCGTTGCGCTCTCCAGTAAATATATCTTGATTTAAGATTGTTTTTACTGGAAAACAAAACAAAATATGCCTGAAGAACAGCATTGTTTGTGGTGTGGTGTCATCTTACTGGAAAGATATTAGATGTAAATCACTGGAATACTCTCTGACCATAAATCATGGCAATATACTGTATTTGAATGTGACAGGGTATGAATTACTGTCTAATATTTGCATGTATGACACAACCAAATCTGATCTTACCATGATAACATAGTAGCAGACAATGTGGCAACACAGCAGATAATGTGTATCCATTCAGCCCAAACTCTGTCTACAATATTACTCTTTGGTTGCAGATTGATTATATATATATATATATACGCACATACATACATACATACATACACACAATCTATGTATAAAATTGTATTTTAGTTAACATTTATTTGATTTCAGATGCTTGCAACTGAAAAAAATGCTTTTTATGGTTTTAGTTTTCATAGCCATTTCTAACCAGAATCACTCAACAATAAAAAAAAAAAGACAAAACACAAGCGACAAGACTCTGTTATTCTGATGATTTTGCATTTTACATAAAAGCGCTCCTGGTTTTGTTTTTTTCCTTGAATAACAACGGTATACATTCAAATTCTGTCCCATATCTGATTATTCATCCCTGAGGGTCACTGGGACATTCATGACCATCAGCTGCGTAAAAATATAAATAACTATATGTAAATTAAAATGGAAAAAATTCAAATGTCACACAACGCTGGAGATAAACAGAGGAAATGAGTACAGGAATAATACCACTATTCACTTAAACAATTACTCAAAATAATTAAGCAAAAATGCGCTTGTGTTCTTTCAGACCTTAGCATTCTCATCGAAGTATCGACTTATCTATCCTACGTAAGAGAAATTAAAAAGAATACAAACGAGTCAACAATCCAGTCCAGAGCGGCACAATGAATGTGGAGCTGAAGTAGAAACATCTGAAAGCAGGAAAACCTCAGTAAAAGTATTTCATTTCTCACTATTTCATCTCACTGTTGTTTAGGAGATGCACAACCATAAACTGATGATGACTGACACACACACACTTGCCATCTACATCGCATAGTCTTCTATTGTTTATATATAGAGCTAGTTATAAATATTATAACCCAGGCCTAGCCTACACTCTAACCCTAAGACACAACTTCCTGCATTTTAATAACTAGAAAACCTTTATTTTATACTGTTTTCACAAATGAGGACGTCTCCAAATGGAGGTTTTCTCATGTTTAACTCACTGCTGGGTACAAATATGTCCCCAAAATATGGTTAAGGCAAGACAGTACTAGTGAATAAGGTAAAAATATTAACTAACAGACATAACCATATCTCCCCAGTTAATTAAACGCAGTACATTAAGACAAAGTTTTCTGTAATGTCAGGTTTAAATATGAAAATAAAGCCTTTTCTAATGAAATATGCACTAATCTGCTTACATTTCCAGAAAATAGATCTGAACATTGGATAAAGTCAGGTTCAACATTCTTCGAAACAGAATAAGTGCTGCTGAAGTGGAGGAAAGAACTTCTGAAGATACGTATTGGAATTGAAATCTAAAGACACAAATAACAAGTGTGATAGAATAATCAAAGTGTGTGTTTTGTTTTCTTTCCACCTGTATAAACACACACACACACACACACACACAACAGTGAAGAGATGAACACACGCTCTCTTGTTCAGTGCGGTTGCCTTTGGGCAAGAAAGAAGGAAACAAACCTGAACAAAGAAACAAACAAACCACAGAAGCGAGTTTCTCTGTCCAGGAAAAGCAAAGATGGGAGGAGCAGAAAGAGAGAGGATCGGTGATATCAGTCTGTCCTGATAAAAGAAGAAACACAAACACACCTGAAGCACAACATCTACAGGTAAGACACTCGGAGCTTTATCTGTACACTGATTATAATATGATTGATTTAGCAGTGTTTATATCACATTATACTCAGCTGATCACTGTTTAACTAGTGAATGTGTGGCTTTTCCACATTTTTTTCCTGTTGGAATCTGGGTTTTTATAGAGAAAAATGACAGAGAAAATAAACAAAAACCAATAAACTTAAAAAAATGAACGTAATATCCAGAGATTGATCCAAAGGTGATGGTGATAATAACTCCAAAGAGGTTTCCTCATACTTAATTTCCCAAGTGTGTCCTAAATGTATTTATTTATTAAATAAATTATACGCTATTACATCAGCAATGCAATACCAGATCATAATGTCTGTGAATTTAAAAGCCGATATGTGCAGCATAAAACAATACACTGTAAAAAATTACCATAATTCTTAACTGTAAAACATTTAAAATCATACAGTAAAAATCTGATATCATACTGCAACTGTTAGAAATTTAACAGTACATTTCATGTAATTTTACAGTACTTGTTTAATTCATATAGTAGATTCGTTATGTGGTTTCTCTTTTTAACTATATCACAATCTGTGTTTTTAAGGTGGTTGTCGGTGTAGTAAAGATTTTACTATTTCAGTAGGTTGGTATATTAGCATTATACCAGTTAATTAAATATTTTTACAAATAATGTACAGTAAAATGTTTTACTGTAAATGCAACTTAAATCTGTAAAACCTAAAATATTGCTGCTGTATTTTTTGGTTAGACTTTATTTCGATAGTCCACTTTAGACATTCTACTAACTATAAGTAACTTTGTAACTACATGTCAACTAATTCTCATTAATTTGCAACTACATGTCTACTAACTCTCAGAGTAGACTGTTAGGGTAGGTTTAGGGTTAGTAGAATAAGTTGACAAAGAAAGTGTTAGAAGATATTAAGCAGACAGTCTACTAATACTCTACTAACTGCTAGTTGACATGTAGTTGCAAAGTTAAGTGGACTATCGAAATAAAGTGTTACCTATTTTTTTACTGAAAAGTTCTGGCAACCACAGCTGCTTTTACTGTAAGTTTGATGTATTTTCCGTGTATTTTCACACTGAATCACGACACACGTCAGCTTCAGGAGCTTCATGTGTGTGTTTAGAACTGATGTAGAATCTAATAAGCAATGATAAAGCAGAAATGACATGATCTGATGTTCTGGATCTGGTCAGATGCTCAGCGTCTGCGTCATTTATTGAGACTGATTTCTGTTTTTCCCTCAGAAATGGAGAGAATCACATTGATGTCTGTTCTGCTCACAGGTGAGTGAGTGTTTAAATGAGTGCTTGACTAGTACTAGTGTTGATAGTCAGTGTAAGTGCTGTGCCGACAGTGTTCAAGTGTGTTTGAATGACTCCTGCAATCGTGTGTGTTGTTGAGGATATTGAGCTGCTACTGTAATAAACCACAAAACATCGTCAGTGTTTCCCATGAGTCCTCTAAACCAGGGGTTTTCAACCTGTGGCCAGCACCTATCAAGGGGGGGCGAGCATCTGTTAATTCAGAGGCATACCCTCGAGTAGCCCATTTATGAATACGAGCTAGCAAATCTTTAGCCATCCACACAATCTGATTAGTCCCACTGCTAATCAGTCACAGTTAGAGCAGAGTTGGCTCCAGTATCAGTCACCGACAGTGTAAGAAGATTTACAGTTAGCCGTGTTGGGAATGCAACCACGTATTGGCATGTTGCTATCAGAAACAGGCTCAGCCTCAGGTAATATATTTATTATCAGGTTATATATTTAATTATAATTACGCACGCACGCCCAAAACTGTCTGAACGATCTGAACGATGGGGCCAGTGCTGCTTCCTCAAGAAAGTTTTATCATTCTCACGTGTTTTAAGTCTTGTCAGTTTAAACATTAAAGTAATTTTAAGCCATTTAAGCACAACACATCTCAATGCGGTACTCACGCGCTTTGTGATAGATCGTTTCTGTGCGCACTGTGCGCACAACTGAAGCGCACAAACAAAGCCGTCTCAGACAGCAGGTGCACACCAATGGCAGTCTTGACGAGGATCCTCGTAAGCACAGTCAGTCTTAAGTGAACGTAATTACAGTAAAGAAAATATCGAATGTACATCAGTATAACGGATCCGTGCATTTCTTATGTTAATAATGTTAATCAAAAAGAACAAAAGAAAATCATTCGCTGCTCTTAAGTAACGTCTGTAGTTTTAATGAATATTTGTGTATATGTTAATGTTAAAGAAATTCGGTGTGAATACAGTAATAGGAGTGAAATTAGACAAACTG